GCGAGCGGAGTGGGAGCTTCGCTCAGGGCTTACCCCCAGTGGTTAGGTAAGGGGAGTAGGCAGTGAGCTGTGAGCCGCAGCACTGCAGCCCCGTGGGGGCGAGTTGAGCGTGGCAGCGATGGGCTGGGTGGGTGAGTCAGGGGCCACCCAGCAGAGGCTGGGGCAAGGCCACGCTCTCACAGCAAGCTGTGCAAAACTTCGTACACGTAGCATAGTTCTCGTGGCACATGGCACAGGTCAGCAAACGGGGTGGTATGGTGTGATTAGCCCAGTACTTTAAAAGAGTATGTGTTCAACAGCTTGTGTTTTGGAGGTGTTTGCATCTTGACTATCAGTCTCTGTGCTTCACTGCAACTTAATTTGCTGAAAACATGTTAACAGCATAAACAATGCCCGGTAATTTTATTACAAAATAGCTTTATTTTACTGTCTTAGTCATACCTTAACATACCACAACATGCCATACCACCAGATATATCACAATTTTTAGTCTCACAGCATGACATTGACTCCTTTCTAGCACTCATGCTTAGCATCTCTTAGCTGAAGTATAAGATCTGCTGCTCATACCTTGAAAGTTAGAAATTAAATACTGTCCACCATAAAGGCACCTCTTGTTGCAAAACACTGTCTTTTAGGTAGGTAGAGCAAGTGCTGTTTGTGAAAAGAGTAGTGGAGTTCCTTTTACCCATACATAGCCTCTGGGGAAATCCCTTAGTCATGAATTAGGTGAGAAGCAGTGTGTTTAAAAAACAGTACAAAGGATTTAGAAATAGAATAGAGGTAATAAAGTATTAAGTTAGACAAATGGAGAGTGTAAAAAGGTTTGATCATTCATTTGTTTGTTGCAGGATATTAAACATACTTGTCCTCAGTCCTTGTCTGTCCAGACCTATAAATGGAAGGCACATTTTATATTAGAGCTTATTGCATGTTTGTGCTCCCACTTACTGTCTTTACTTAATTGTAAAAGCTTTTGCATTCACATATAGGGTCCATTTCATCAAACAAGGTTATTATTAACTTTTTGTATTTATACATAGTCTGTTTTATTTTGGAACAATATAACTATCTGCTCTATTAAACAAACAAAAGCACTAATATTTTTCAGAATGGATGGCATGAGTTAAAGATCTTAAACATGTGCTTGTGTACTGGACACAGCCTCTAGTTCTCTTTATAGTCCCAAACATTGTATTTTAATTTGAAACCTTCATTGGTTGAAAGTTTGCCAAACGTGTAATTCACCACTGATCTAACATTAAGAGCAGGTCTAAACATGCACAGTAATACGAAGGTTGCCAGCCCTTTGCTTGTATCTGTGGATACCAAAAACAGCAGAACCAGTTCAGAATACTAGAACAACAGAATGCAGAACAAAATCTTGTTGTGCAAGTTTTAAAACTTTTATCTGTGTAACCTTTGTAAGGATTGTAGTTGGTTTTTTTGTGCTTTGTAATTAAGTAGCTCAAGTCCTCATGTTCCTCTCTGTCTCACTGTGTTTCCTTTTGCAGTATATATAGTAGTGATGATGATGATGAAGATGTTGAGATGTATGATCATGATTATGATGGTCTGCTTCCTAAGACTGGAAAACGTCACTTAGGAAAAACCAGGTGGACCCGCGAAGAGGTAAATCTGAGTTCATTCATCTCCTGCATGTAAAAAGATAGAGCATGGATCGCATTCTTCTCTGAGCTGCTTCGTGTTCTTTGCAGTGTTGCTTGTCTGTAAACTAACTTCAGTGACAGTCCACACGTATCAATGTGGACAACCTTTTTTACCCATTAGCTACGTTCAGTGTTTTAATCTTACCTTTTGAAAAAAAAAGTATAAACACAATTCTTTTATTTCCACTAAGCTCTGTGTTACAAGTATGTGAGCCTCTGTATAATCTCTATTGAAGAAGCAGATTCAGACTCACCTGTAGCAATGCTTGGTTGTTACTGCTTGTCTCATTTTGTTTGAAAACAGTTGCTATGCAAGAACTGACGTGTGTTCAGTGTCCCACAGCAGAAAGCAACTGTGGCAGATATTGCTGCAGTCCTCCTGTGCCATTTGAAATCTGCACTTCAATTGCAGCACGATGATTCCAAATGAAAATACTTTAAAAAAAAAGAAGAAAGAAATCCAGCAGTACCAAAATTGAGTATTCAAGATGTATTTTGCTTTTGAAGGTCAAAATGTATTTTAGTCACAATACCCTTGTGCTGACTTTCTGTGAAAATTGTGGTCTCGAACTCCTTTGCCAGGTGGATATCCCTTGGCCATTTAACTGGTTTGAGTTTATCGTGAAATACATTAATACAGTTCTTAAGTTATGGTTTGACTTTTTCCTCTCTTAACAGTGTGTGTTGATGTATAAACAGTGCCAGGTCACCTCTTGCAAGCCTTCTATTTTTATGTTTCTTTTAAAATCATAGTCTGCTCTCACAGAGGTGGACATGGTTGTGATGTGGCCTGGGAAGAAAGGATGGCCATGAAGCTCAATGGCCATTGTCCTGTCACTTGAACTGGGAGATACTGGGAGGTGCTAATTGGGGAAGGAGGGGGTAACTCTCCTCCTCTTATCTCTTGGGGCAGTTCTCGTTTGTTTTACACTATCTCAGTCTTTCCCGGTGCATGAGATTGGTTTCTTTTGTCTTTAGGGTCTGTATTTCTGGCCTTATCATTAAAAATAGCAGGCCAAATTTCTTGCTCTTGCAAGTATACAAAACTGCCTCACAGAGATCAGTAAAAAAAGCAGCTATTAGTTTTATTGTGCATTCATTGTACGTGGCTAGGCCATGAGCAAATTACTGGAACGCACATTACTTGCAAAACACAGAAAGCTTAAGGCCGTGATTTTTCAGAGGTCCCAGATAGCTGGATGCCTGAGTGTTACTGAATTGCACTTTTCTGATACATGGCATCTAAGCATTTATGCTGTCCTGTAAATCCTATCCAAGAGTAACAGAGTGCTTAAGGCAGTAAAATGGGAATGCATAACGTGATTCAAAGAACAGCACAGTATAAGTCAGTCTTTCTTTTGCAGCACAGTAAAGTACATACCAAAATCCATGAGGGTAGAAAAATCATCTGCTTTAGGCAATTAAAAGTATGAGAAGTCTACAGACTACCTTCCCTTACATTCAGAAAGAAGACATAGATGCACAAAAAGCTAGAAGGACAAATGTAAAAAAAATATTCATTTCACTTGCATTATAAGAGACTGCAGTATTAATTATGTCTGGAATTTTTAATGATTCAGGATGAGAAGCTGAAGAAGCTTGTGGAGCAGAATGGTACAGAAGACTGGAAAGTCATTGCCAATTTCCTTCCCGTAAGTGAATATTGCTTTCTGTTTCCAGGCCTAGTGACAACTCTTTATCTGAGGTTTCCCTGATAAAAGGGAAGGGGAGTGGTTGCTTTATAGTTACATTTTTGCGGGAGATATAAAACCTCCACAAATGAAGACCTTAAACATTTAGTTAGATTACTGTGGAAACCTCTCAATGTATTCTTCCTTTCACTTCTCAGAAAGGGTTGGGGAAAAAATCAAACAGCATAAATGGGGTGAGGAGGGGGACCTTGTACAGTAGATGGTCAATGTGACACTGAAACAAAATGACTCAGCACAGAGAAAAAAATAACTTTGGTGCATTGTAAGTATGGTTTAGAAGATAATTGCTTCGTGAATGCTTTGGTTGTCGAAATACTGCATGTAAAAGCATGCCAGCTGTTGTGAATATGGGAAAGACTCAGTCTGTGTAGTTTTGGTTATACAGTCCTCACTGCAGAAGTGATGGAAATCTTTTCTATTCAGCGAGCAAATTGATAGCTGAGCACCTTCTTCTCAGCGTTACTATGCCACTCCATGTTGTTCAGTAGTCATGGCTGGCAGTGAAATATGTTGGGAACAAGTGTACCTAAATAAGTGTTCTTACTATAGTCATCTTGTCTAAAGAATGGTCTCCTTTGCGTATTTCACATTTGACTAGAATCGGACAGACGTTCAGTGTCAGCACCGATGGCAGAAGGTACTAAACCCAGAACTTATTAAAGGCCCATGGACGAAAGAGGAGGATCAAAGGGTAATCAGTTTTCCTTTCTGTCTGTTTAATGCCTTACTAGCAGATTTCATGTGGTGGGGCAAAACTCCTGGAAACTTTGGTGTTCTCAACACTAATATAGCCAGAGACAGACTATATTTGTGTAGTGCTTCCTAAATTTGCTATGCGGATTAATTAATGTTGCTTTACAGCACTGTAACTTAGAATTGCAGTCTAGAAATGCCTTAACTGTTACCAGATTTTTTCCTTTTTGGTAAAAGTATAAATGGGAAATGGGGAATCTTAATTGTCTGTTAGTTTTACTGTGGCAATTTTGAGAAATGTTGTTGAAAGTATTGCTCCACCGCAGAAAAAACATTCATTGATTCATTATGCATCATTAAATACAGGCAGTTTTTATGTCCTTCTTTGAAGGTAATAGAACTCGTGCAGAAATACGGTCCAAAGCGCTGGTCTGTCATTGCTAAGCATTTGAAGGGAAGGATTGGAAAACAGTGCAGGGAGAGGTGGCACAACCATTTGAATCCAGAAGTGAAGAAAACCTCCTGGACAGAAGAGGAAGATAGAATTATTTACCAGGCACACAAGAGACTGGGAAACAGATGGGCAGAGATTGCAAAGTTGCTGCCTGGACGGTAATGACATATACCTTTAGCTCTTCAATAGGAAAAAGCTGCAGGTCTGAGCAGTCTGTTTCAGTTGCCTCAGGCTGCACTTTATAAATCAAAAAATTTTGGAATCAAAACCTGGGAAGCCAGTGACACTGATGTTCGTTTTTCTCAGTGGGGAACTGTGCTGTTTGGTCAGTACATGAAACAGTATGCTATTTTCACATGCTTTTAATGTTTGCCATAGGTAAAAAAACCCCAGTAACTAAAGCAAGACCATAACCATTTCCTAAATGTCTGAGCAGTCTTATATGCCTGTGATAACTGTCAAAATTTAAATTGATTTAACAGGGAAGGATTAGACTTTGCAAGTGGAACATAATTTGCATTCAGCTAAGGATATGCCTTCAACATGAAATCTGTCTGCTTATTCAAAATGATTTAAGAGAAGACTGCTTCAACTTTTGTAATTACTCCTGAGTCATCCGAATGATTTCAACCTGTTAAAAATCCATGTATGAAACAGGAGAAAATTACTTCCTCAAACTCGGGTCCTGGACATACTTGTCTCATTGAAAGCTTATAACCTTAGACATTCAGTGTCTTATTCACTGTGATTAGAAGTGACTCAAAGCATAGGCAAGCAAATAATGTAAGCAAGGGAGAGGTTTCCCTTCCTACTTTTATTCCTGCTATTTGGTAAAACATCTTCAAGATCTAAATGTAATGCGAACTTCATGGTAGCCTTTTAAGCAGGCATTCCCTAGGCTGCTTTCAGCTTCTAGAAGAAAACAGGGAAGGAACTAGCCCTTGGGAATATTTTTGTAGCTTCCACACATCACAGGTACCACTTTCAATAATACTTTGCAGTGGTGATTTTTTTCAATGTTGTTTCTAAGCATACCCAGAAATCTCACAGACTTGGTAAGTTTGCTTTTTCTGACTCATGTATGTGAGAATTTGAATCTGTTTTTCTGCATCTAAGACAAATCCCCACAGCTTTGTTTATTGAGTTTGTGTGTACAGCATGGTGTTATCATTGTCTAGGTGGCCAGCTGGAAAGTGGCTTGGAAGTTAGTCTTTTCACAGTCATTCTTCACAGTCTTTCTTTCCAGCAATGAGACACAATAAGACTCCACTGAAATTTTAAGAAATAGGAAGATGATGTTGTCAGTCCTTTAGGGTAGCCTCAAAGGAGTGTTAGCCTTTGCTGTCACCTCATCTCATGGGAATGAGGTGAAGCTGAAGTTAGTAATTTCTTACAGTTTGAGGATCTAAGGCAGGGAGATTGCTTTAAAAAGTATATAAACAACCGTAGCCAAATTTTCCTTTTCCCCAAACTTTTATACTGAACATCTTTCCTGAGAAGCTGAAAGTAGCATTTCTAATCATAACAGTTAGGAAGAAGGTCAGAGACAAGCTGAAGATTTAAATAGAAATGCCAAGAGCAGTTCCCTGCCCATTGACCTGTCTGAATTGGAAGTACTCGTTTTTAAAACTCCTCAAATGTATGCATTTCTGTTGCAGAACTGATAATGCTATCAAGAATCACTGGAATTCCACCATGCGCCGAAAGGTTGAGCAGGAGGGCTACCTGCAGGAGTCCTCCAAAGCCTGTCAGTCCTCAGCAGCCGCGGGCTTTCAGAAGAGCAACCACTTGATGACCTTTGCTCACAACCCATCACCATCTGCCCAGCTGCCAGTAGCTGGCCAGCCCCCGCTGAGCAGTGACTACCCCTACTACCACATCTCTGAGCCACAGAACGTAAGTGCCTGCAAATGTGGTGGGAATGGCTGTTTTGCTGTGTTGAGTAGATGGGTGAAATTTAGCTGTACCTGGTTTCAGGAAGCGTAAAGGGTTTTCTCCTGGTCTTGGTGGACTTGTGTGTGTTTGATGTCAGATGAGGGCTTCTTTGACTTTTGCTTCATTCGGTGATGAATATCTGTGCGTTTCAAACTGATGGCATTTAGGTGGTGGAATTGAGTACAGCGGTTTTAATGTCTTGTAAGCAGTGAACATATTTCTTAGAGCAGTGAATATTAAATTTCTTGAAATCAGTTGAATCTAGTTAGTTCTGTGTTCTATGTCAAAATCTCCCACGGTCCCTTCACTACTGTTCTGTTTGTGGGTTGCCTGTTGGAACCAAGTAAACAAGTATTGTTTTTAATCAGATTCCTTTTCTATTAATGATTAATAATGAAACGGGCTCCCACTTCAGGCAGTTGCATTGTAGAGTCCTAGATGATAAAAAATTGCATATTTTGCTTTTTCACTTACAAATAAATCTATAAATTATTCATCTTTTCTCATTCAGGAAGGGTAAATATTTCGTATATGAATCTTCTTTCTTCCTCTGTAATGCTCACTGCCATATCCCTGAAAAATGTTGACTTTTCTTGTAAGCATTGTTGGGTTTTTTTGCTATTTTGTCATCATAATTATAAATATTCAGTACCTGAACCCAAAAGTATGTTTAACACAAGTTCACTATGCGCACAGATAATATGATAGAAATAGTAACTTTTAGTGTTTTTTGCTTTTTGACCCTAGGTTCCTGGTCAGATCCCATATCCAGTAGCACTGCATGTAAATATTGTCAATGTTCCTCAGCCAGCTGCTGCAGCTATCCAGGTAGATAAGTTGAACCTCATTTCAAGAGTCAAATTCTTAAATACTTGATAAATCAAAATGCAGACATTGTACATTAAGGGAACATTTTAATGTATTAAGTGTGGTGAAGAGAGAAAACGGGGAAGGTGGGGGAGTTCTAACGTGGCTAATAATTGCTCCTTCTGAAGTGGATTTAAAACGCAGTAGTTGACATCTGGTGTGATAGCTTTCACTTTCTCCATTTCAAATGTCTATACTGAAATTCAGCAGGGACTTTGGTAGTGAAAAACACCATTGACATTTGTTTCATCTTTGAGTCTAATTTGGCTGTTATAACCACAGGTCGGCAAGCCATAAGCATTTTAGTTGCTACATCCTATCAGACCTTTATCTTTTCTTTTCCCTTAACTCTTAATTTCAGAGACACTATAATGATGAAGACCCTGAGAAAGAAAAACGAATAAAGGAATTAGAGTTGCTACTAATGTCGACTGAGAATGAACTGAAAGGGCAGCAGGCATTACCAGTAAGATTGTCACTGTGTGCTTGGATGGAGGGATAGCAGCCTTACCCCAGTGCTTGTCTTTTTAACTTTTTTACTCCCCCTCTGCCTTCAGTACTAATCAAGGCTCTATATTTCCGTTTGAAAAGTATGAAACATAGCACATATATAATCCGTACTTGCTTCGTGAATTCTTTTATTGGGGAAAAAAAACCAAAACGACAATTTGCAGGTATTTTACTTGGCAAACTGAGAGCAGGACTGGGCTCTGAAACATGATGTAATACTGGAAGCACTGCGATTGTACAAAAATAAAAATCCTGCAGATCTGTAATCAATGGGATCTGCATTTCTGAAAGTGTGCAATGGTTCATGTAATGAAAATGTAGTGCCCACGCATTAGAGTTTCCTTCTCTGCTGCATTCTGTCCTTCAGCTGTGTTTTATACACTTTGTAAGCTTCAGACTCGGTGCATGTTTGACAGTTTGTTTTACTTCTCTGAATAATGCTAGATTCTTCATAACTGCATGTGTGGAGCAAGTGCTGGCTATTACTGAATTCTCACACTTGCTGTATATGCCATTGGATGTTAATGTGTGAAAACCCTTGTGTAATTACTTAACACCATCACCAAAGCCAAGAATCCCCAAATTGTTTTTGAAGATAGGTGATAGCCAGCAGATTTTTTTTTTTTTTTTTTTTTTTTTTTTGGGTAATATTTAAATTATTAGTAAAACAACTGCATGCATGATACGTTAGTTTGGCCACTTTTTAACTTTAGTTAATGTTTTGCAATTTCTTCTGTTGCATGATCACACTGGAAAGAAACTTCTGTTAATTTGTTCTTCTGCTTTCCTAACCACGTTGATTTGACAGCCTCTTCATTGCATTGGTGTAAGCTGTAGCATTAGACAGGGATAGCAGAAGAAAAGGAGATAAGCGGACAAAAGCAACTCTAACTCTTAAACCCTTCAGCCTTCTACAGTGCTGAGTGCTCAGTAGGGAAATCCTGCCGTTTCTTGCTTCTGACAGAAAACAACTTGCAGACACTTTTTGAGCTTTTGGAGGAACACAGTATGAATTGATTATGTGTTAGTAATGATATAGTCCTGGAAGTAAATTATGAGGTAACTTTGGGATAACAAATACAATGCCAGTATTATGTAAAATAAGATCTTGCACTGATGAAAGGAAACATCTTGACAATTGTTTCATAGGCATAAGCTTCTAGATGATGATGCAACTACTTTTATCTTTCCTCCAGTGGCATCTGACACCTTGTGCAACTTCATTGCTAAGTTCCTTCTGCCTTTCTCCCCCCCTTCTTTTTTTTTTCCTTTTTTTTTTCTTCTTACTTTAGACACAGAACCACACATCAAACTACCCTGGCTGGCACAGCACCACAATTGCTGACAGTACCAGGACCAGTGGTGACAGTGCACCTGTTTCCTGTTTGGGGGAACTTCACCACTGTACTCCATCTCCACCAGTGGATCACGGTTGCTTACCTGAGGAAAGTGCATCCCCTGCACGGTGCATGATTGTTCACCAGAGCAACATCCTGGATAATGTTAAGAATCTCTTAGAATTTGCAGAAACACTTCAGTTAATAGACTCCGTAAGTAGACTTGCCGCCTCAGGTGGATTCATGCGTGGTCAAGGAGTAAGGGGAGAGGAGCTGGGACTGTCCTAAATGTGCTTCTTGTTTTTTTCCAAGTAACTTCTAGTTGCTCCAGGATCTGAAGCTTAGCTTCTGACATAACAAAATGCAGCTGCTCGTAAATTAAGCCCTCAAGCATGGATGTGTATGCTTTTTGTAGGTGTCTCCCTTTCCTGCTACATCTTGGTATGGGAGTGTGAGTTTTGGCAAGCTGCACAGTAGGAGCTTGAAACAATCTCTCAACATTCAGTGTCCTCAAAACAGAATCAGAGACACCATGAAAGATCTTAAACAATGAAATGATACTTATATTTGAAGTGACACCTGCGATAGGTTTATGTGTGGCTGCTTGTGTATCTGCATCATTTTCTAGGAAGTTTCTGTTGTAGCTTCAATAGCTGCTTCTCAAAGTTTACAGAGTTTGCCCTGGCATATGTGAAGGACTGTAAACACACATTTAAATGCCAAGTATCTTATTGACATTGACATGGGCCTTTTCTCATTGTGGTCTCTGGAATTCTACATGTACAGGAGTAGCACATGGAAATACATTTGTTGATGGCAACCTTCTTGAGCAGCAGAGGTGTCTGCTTTATGCAGCATCACATCCCTTTGGGCACATCCAGAGCAGGCATGCAGGTTAGGAGTCTTCGTTTAGAGCACACGTTTTTTGGTAGTGAAAGGCATCATCTTCATACCAAGCAGAAAACCCTGGGCAGATATAGTAAGGAAATAATTTGACTCATTCTTTAAGGACTCAGTTGCCAGCAACACTAACTAGGATGTTAGCCAGTTGTATGAGATCAGGTTATATAGTGATGACACAAATAGCATTCATAGTGTTACTACTCACGTAAACAGGGTCAGGCTGAATTGAACTGGGAAAGACTTCGGTGGTGGTGGTTACGGGCACATCCTAGCACTGTATTTTCATGAGGTGGCACTATACACTGTCTTATAGCTCCGTGCCTCCCACATTGTTTCAGGATCCTTCATCATGGGGTGATCTCAGCAGTTTTGAATTCTTTGAAGACACAGACACTTCGGCTAGCAATGCTCCCTCAGACAAAGTCACGCAGCTTCAGCAAAGAGGGGCCAGTGCTGGTAGACCTCAAGGACACCCTATCACAAATTTGAGCAAAGTCGTGTCGAGTCAGGGCCCTCTTGGCTCACCAAAGACCTTGTCTGCCTCACAGGGCAGTGCAGCTCCGTGGGTCCTTCGCAAAAGGAGAGGGCACTCCAGCCCCTTAGCCAGTGGCCACGGTAGCACCTTGTTCCTAGCTGACGTCAGCAGCTCAACTCCTAAGCGCTCCCCTGTCAAAAGCCTGCCCTTCTCTCCCTCGCAGGTAGATCAAGACTTCTGCACAGATGTTACTAATTCTCAAAAGTCACCCCAGTCTTAACAATTTAGAAACTAATCCTTTGGAACAAATGACTAATTACAGTTGTGCTTGTTGATCTCACTCTGTGTTTGAATCTTCTCAGTACTCTTAGTCTTCACTGCTGAGTTTAGATAATCAGCAAGCTAACTGTTGATTCTCCTCTTTTAAATTCATTTGTGGGGCTTGGGTTTTTGTGTTTTGGTGTTTTTTCCTCTTTTTGAATCATTTTTATAGGGAATGCATTTGCTTGCTTTGCTCTTGCTGCTAACTCCAGCTATTAGAGTTTAACATTTCTGATCACTTGTAATACTTTCCATCTCTGTCCACTTACAGTATGATTCATTGACCTAGAAAACCCCAAATTGCATTTAAATAGCATTCAGATTGTGAGACAAACTGACAACAACCAGAAAATTCAAATCACACTTGCCTTTCTCAGCCCAGGCCATGTGGGTTGGAGTGGAATAGGAATGAGGAGGAAAATGTCCTGTTAAAGTGGCCTGGTGTGCACTTCCAAGTTCCTGGTGATGGTTGCTTTGTTTCACAGCTGTAGCACTATTTAAAAGTGTTTTGGATTTTGTTTGTCTGTGTTGGTTTTGCCTTGGTTTTGCTTTAGTCTTTGAAGTCAGAGAAACACTATTTCATGAAGGATAGTAAAAGATTGCACAATGATCTCCCACAGTATTTCCCATTACCTCTTGGGTATTCTTTTACATGCCATGTTTTTATGAAGTGGCAATTGAGTCTAGAAGGTAATACATTGAATTGTTGTCAGAATAAAAGATACCACTATGCTCACAGATTCATAGCTGTTAGAAATGGAAACAATATTTTAGGTTACTAGGTAGAACTCATGCAAGAGCAATTTTCTCTAAGCAAACACTGCCACTTCTTTACAGTCAGCTGTTTCCATTCCCAAACACTCCACACACCCATCATAGGTGGCAGTTTTAATCTTATGCTGTGAAGACGAAGCGCTTTGCTTTGAGAGAGATGATTGGAAATTCATTTTCCTGTCATAAATGCTTTATATACTGCCGTAAAAGCCCCTAGATTCCCCATATAAATATTTGTGGAATTCAGCTCCATTTCCTGTGGGTTTATTTCTGAAACATCCCTTACTCATTTTCGCCCAGTTCGTGGGCACACTGCTCTTAGTATTAATTAAAATTTATATGCAGAAAATTCAAATCAGATTTGTGGAAAGTTTTTCTCATTGGAACAGAGTGTAATTATCTTTAGAACTTTCCTCTTTAGAAATGCTGGGTTTGGCTTCCTGAGTGCTCCAGCCAAACTGTTGAGTATTGTTTCACAATGCAGTCAGGTACCCTACATACACCTACTTGCATCATAGGGTCAGGAGAGTGGCTCATGTCAATCAGAAAGAGATAATTTCCTTTTGTTCAACAACATCAGTTTGAGAAGTCAACCATGTAACCTGTATGTTCCTGTTCATTTTTTCTTTCTCTACTTGCAGTTCTTAAACACCTCATCCAATCATGAAAACTTGAACCTGGACAATCCTGCACTTACTTCCACACCGGTATGTGGCCATAAGATGGCAGTTACCAGCCCATTCCACAGGGACCAGGCTTTCAAAGCTCAGAAGGAAAATCATGTGTAAGTCTGTTGTCTTGTCAGACTCATGAGGTTCATTTCTTCAGGTCTGCATACAGCCAAAGGGCTAGGTCACACATAGCACTGTACGCTTCAGAATGAAGGAGATAGGTTTAGGTTAGATATAAGAAAAAATTATTCACTGTGGGGGTGATGAGGCACTGGAACAGATTACCCAGACAAGTTGTGAATGCCACATCCCTGGAGGTGTTCCAGGCCAGGGTAGATGAAGCCCTGGGCAACCTGATATAGCAGAAGGTGTCCCTGCCAGCAGCTGGGGATTTGAAACTAGATGGTCTTTAAGGTCCCTTCCAACCCAAACCATTCTATGATTCTATGCTTCCTGCAGAGTTGTTTGCTAACACATTCAGGTTTCCCTTAAACTTCCACTTTATGGTTGTGGACTTTGGTTATTAATACAGAACAATCATGTGTATAGGCTCGCCAGTTTTTAAAATAAAGCCATTACGCCTTATCATAGTCAAACAGATGTTCTGCCAGAAAAGCAAAATGGATTATAGGATTCGGGGAAATATTTGCCCAAGTCTTACAACAGCCACTGCCTATATGCATGTATTTCTGTAAAGAGGTAGTATTTCCAAGCATCTTCCTTTAAAGTTCCTCTCTCTCTTTTTAAAGTTGCAGAACTCCAGCAATCAAGAGGTCGATATTAGAGAGCTCTCCAAGAACACCCACTCCATTCAAAAACGCACTTGCAGCTCAGGAAATCAAATACGGTCCTTTGAAGATGCTGGTAAGAAGGAAACAATGATAAAAGTTGCTTTGATATTAGTGCAGAAGGGTGTTCTGGGACTTGGATATAACGTTTCTTCCTTTCAGCCTCAAACTCCGACTCATCTTGTAGAAGATCTGCAGGATGTTATCAAGCAGGAGTCGGAGGAATCTGCAATAGTGGCTGGGCTACATGAAAGTGGAACCCCTTTGCTGAAGAAAATCAAACAAGAGGTAAATCTCAAACTTACCTGAGGCAATTTAATTCAGAACTCTTTGCTGAGAAACTTATACCAATACCTTTTCTGTTAAATAGCTGTGTCTGTTTTTCTTTCATGTGAGCCCCAAGATCTTAGTATCGGTTCCATATAGTATACTAGGCATGCCTAATTCATCTCCCATTGATTTCCATAGAAGTCTTTCTGCTGTTTTCAGCAGGGGTTTGCTTGGGCCGTTCTATTGCAGTTTTCGTTTGAAACTTAAAAAGAAAAGAAAAATTAGACAGGAATTTGGATTGAATCTTTCTGATATTGGTGAAAAGTATAGAAGAACCCCACGGGGACCAAGCTCCATGGAGTGACTTAGAAACCTGAACATTTGAGGACATTGCATTATATTACTTTGTCACTAAAGTTCTAAAAATACATATATTCTCAATCCTTTCTAGGGGATTAAACTCCTGAATACTGACAGAGTGCTGAGTGCAAGTATTCAAAGTTTTATTAGATGGCGTTTTTTATGAGAATCTTGAACATTTTTCTCCTGCAAAGAGCAAGAGTGCTGCAAAAGATGTTACTGTAAACATGCTTTATGCACAGCTATGAAGAATATTTGTTCAATTTATTAAGCAACTGACAGAAATCTTCTGGTCAGTTAGGTACTGGTTGTTACAATGTCTTTCCTGCTTGCAGGTGGAGTCTCCAACAGATAAAGCTGGAAATTTTTTTTGCTCAAATCACTGGGAAGGAGAAAACCTGAACACTCAGCTCTTTACACATGGATCTACTATGGAAGATGTGCCAGTAAGTGCAAGTCTTCACACCATCAAATGATCTTTTTGTTTTATATCCCTGTTCAGTTCTTAAATGCAAGAGAGAAAATATTTTGTCTGACCGTCTTTGCAAGGAGGCATTATTCATTACTTCTCTTAAAAAGCAAAATCTCACTCTTAATTAGATCACTGTAATACCTATAGAAGGTAGCAGAAGCTGCAGTCATTTTACAGCCTACAGTCTTTGTGAAAAGCCTGCGCTGGGAGGATGCCTGCACCTGTGTATAGAAATGACTAGATCACAGAGTTGAAAACTGCTAAAAGAAAGAGAGAGTCTCTGTTTTGTGCAAAAGAGACCTTGCATGAACACGGTTGCCTTGCTTCACCGAGACTCCAGGACTATTCAGTGTTACTGTTATTGTACTTGTTTCACTGGATGGAAAACCTTTGCACATGGCAGTGCTCCTGCAAAGCCAAGTCCTAGGGACCTCAGGCTGAGGTCTGTTCCCTTTTGTGGCTCTTCCCAGTGTGGCAACTTCTGCAGTCAGGCTGAGTTTGCTTTTAATACATTCAAATTCAGGTTGTTCTCTTGAGTTGCTGAAAACCCTTTTTTTGTTTGGGTTTTTTCCCTTTTTTTTTCTTTTCCTGTCCAGAATCTTCTCACCAGCTCCATTCTAAAGATGCCTGTGTCTGAAGAGGATGGTAGTTTTCACAAAACAGTTGCAGTACCTAGAAACAGGCCTCTAGCTAGTCCTCTGCAGGTAACTATCCTTTGATAAATATATCCTTTGTATATAAAAATATATGTGTATATATATATGTATATCGCTTTCTCACAGTCTGATTATGAGTATGGAAGAATGAAATGTTCAGGTGAATGTGCCTGAGGATCTGGCTTTACAGGTGGAGCATGAGGATGCAGTGACTGCAGCTGCTCCAGGAAGCTCAACAGGGCAAAACCCCATGTGTGTGGCATTGTAACTCAGCTGAGTGCAGTGTTAAATTGGTAGGACTGAAAATTAACATAGGCCTTAGGCTTTTTTCTATAGATTTCTTTTAGGCAGCACTGCTGTTTTGGAGAGCAGAGGAACTGAGTAGTGTGGTAGTGGCCAGAACTTGTCACTGGCCTCGGTGTGAGAGGAGAGACTCTGGCACTGCCTGGCTGGCTGGCACC